CCGTCTTTTCAAAGTACGAATTAGTCTTTCCACAAGTCCATTACTTTTAGGATGGTAAGGAGTTGTTTTTATGTGGTTGATAGAATTTTTCTCAAAAAATGTTTCCATTTCCTTTGATACAAATTGAGGTCCATTGTCTGTCACAATTTCACTTGGTATTCCATATCGACTAAACCAAGATCTCAATCGTTGAATGATTGTTGAAGAGTTTGTTGTCTTGAGACAGTCCACTTTGACAAAGCATCAATACCTACCAACCACATAGATCCGTTAACTGGCCCTGCCAGATCAATGTGTACCCTTTCCCAAACTTTATCAGGTACATTCCAAGGATATAATGGTACTTCTTCCACATTATCTCGATTCTCTTGACAAGATGTGCACCTCTTTATATAAACTTCGATATCTTTATCCATGTTGGGCCACCATACATAGTGTCGTGCTACAGACCTCATAGCACAGAAAATGTACTACTATAACCCAGAATGCCAACCGCATGGTAAAAAGCATTAAGCGGTTTGAGAGAGCTTTGCCTGTCAATCCGTAGGCAGCGCCACCAGCGTTGCTATGCTATTGCATGGCAACGCTGGTGGCGCTGCCTACGGTTTGACAGGCAAAGCTCTCTCAAACCGCTTAATGCTTTTTACCATGCGGTTGGCATTCTGGGTATAGTAGTACGTTTTCTGTGCTCATAGATACAATACCAGGATGTCCTGTGTGCAGTATCTTTAGAACATCAGTTCTCATGCATTCTGGAACTACAATTCTTCCAAACCACAATAATATGTCATCTTCAACACTCAATTCATCTTTCCTCTGTTTGTATGACTTCAACATTTCAGGAACAACAGGGGGCCATGTATTTCTCAATACAAAGTTTTTTGCCATTTTAATTGCTTTATCTGTAAATTAATTTTGTTTCAAGAGGTCATAAGACATGATAGAGTTAACCTTATCAACATTCAAAAAACCAATGTGAGCCTCCTCAGGTTGATCTTCTTCAATCGGAAGTCTTGATAGAACATCAGCACACACATTATCTTCTCCTTTTCTGTACTCTATGTCATAGTTGTATTGATTCAACTGGAGAGCCCACCTCAGAATATTTTGCTCAGTCTTTCACAAAATCAAAACTATCAATCAAAATCAATCATCGACCTAAATCAATCTGTAAAACTGCTGGGAATTCACATAGACTCAAAGCTCACATGGAATGACCATGTTGTAAATTTGTGTAAAAAACTCTCAAGGGTCAATTGTTTGTTTTGGAAACTGAGCTCCATAATCTCTACTGACTATCTGAGGACTGCCTATTTCAGACTCTTTCAGTCTCATATTGCTTATGGTCTCATACTTTGGGGACACTCTGCAAATGTCTCAGATGCCCTGATTCTTCAAAAAAAATTAATTAGAACCATTTGTCAAGCCAGGCCTGGAGATCATAGTAGATGTCTTTTTAAACAATTGAAGATTCCTACAATTATTAACAAATCTAAATTCTTTTTTTATTAGACGTGAGGTACACAATCACAATACCAGGAATAAAAACAAACTTGAAATCCCGCAACATAGGTTAACAAAGTTTGGAAATTCTTACATGGTAAATTGTGTTAAATTTTTTAATAAGCTTCCCGATAATGCTCACACCACTCCTCTTAAAGGCTTCAAAACCAAGATGTATCAATGGCTTCTAGACAATCCATTCTTTACTATTAATGAGTTTATGGCCACCAACATAGATAATATATTTTAAGTTTTCAAATTAATGATAAGCATTAACTTTTGTTTGTTTGGATGAGGTTTACCAATTTTATTAATTTAATGTTTATGAAGCTGTTGTTTGGGTACTACTACTACTAGTAGGCTGGAGTTGCAACTTTGGTTTTAATTTAAATATATTTAGATATTATTGATGATTATTATCGATATTATTGATATTATTTGATGTTATTGACTGTATATATTTATGTTGACCATGCCCATCTCATGTAAAAATGATCAACGGCAATAAATATCTTATGTCTTATGTCTTATGTCTCACTAAACGGCTATTTACAACTTTTGGGAGATCTCGCATATTTCCAAATATCCGTTGTAGAGGTTTGTGGTCGGTTACTAAAGTAAACTTCCGACCATATACATATTGATGAAATTTCCTGAGTCCAAACATAATAGCTAGCGCTTCTCTGTCGATATTTGAATATTGTTTTTCAGCGGGCAGTAGTGTACGACTGGCAAAAGCAATTGGTCTTTCTAGTCCATCTTCATATCTGTGCATTAGTACACTTCCCAATCCATTTTCTGATGCATCACAGACCATTACCAATGGTCTCATTTCTTTGTATGGCACTACTGTGTCTTTACTTGATAGAATTTCTTTTCCCTCTTCTTGTTCGGACCATTTCCATTGTGATTTAGTCCCAGTCAGCTTATGGAGATCACTGCAAATGGCATGAAGTCCCGGAATAAATCGTTCATAGTAGTTAATAGAACCTAAAAATGATCGGAGTTCCTTGGCATTAGTAGGTGACCGTGCTTCTCGAATGGCTTTTATTTTTTCTTAAGTAGGATGTATTCCATTCCGGTCGATTGTATGTCCCAAGTAAGTCACTGACTCTTCAAAAAATTTGCATTTACTAGACTTTGCTTTTATACCAGCTTCTTTCATTCGTTTCAAAACCTCTCTCAAATTTCGTAAATGCTCGTTCTTATTCCTTCCAGTTATTATAATATCGTCCAGAAGAACTCCAACCTGTGGTATCCCAGCTAAGAGTCTTTCCATATATCTTTGGAAAATACCTGGACTAGATGATATCCCAAAAGGTAAACGTTTGTATTTATAGTAACCACTATGCGTTGCTATTACTAAATACTTTCGGTGTTCTTCTGCAACCTCCATTTGTAGGTATGCATCTCGTAGGTCTACCTTGGAAAACTCTTGTCCGCCTGCAACTTTGTTTGTTAGTTCCTCAAATGTCGGAATAATTGCATTTTCTGGGACCAAATTTTGATTCAAAGTGACTCGGAAATCTCCACAAATTCTTATTGAACCATCATTCTTCTCTACATTAACTGTTGGTGTAGCCCAGGGAATAGGTGTAGCAGCAGGATCTACCTCTTCAATGATATCTTCATTTACAAGTCTTGTAAGTTCATTCTCAATTCGTTTTTTCAAGGGAAACGGAACCCTGCGCGCTGAAAAATGTTGAGGGTTTGCATCTTCTCGAACGTGAATTCGTGCTTTATAACCCTTGATTTTCCCATGCCCTTCAGAGAACACATCTTCAAATTCTTTTAGTACTTCCTTAACCCTCACATCATCCATCTTATATTGATTATGATTCTGCTTACATTTTACTTTACTAATAGTAACATCAGGAGAGGGAGGTTCATATTAAAGGCTAATATCCATGGTAAACCAAACAGCGGTTTCTATTTTCCATTTACTACTGCTACTTTTAATCTACGTGTCTCATCACCTAATGAAACATTGACATAACATTCACCAAGTATATCTAAAATATTGTTTCCATAAGCCACGTATTTTGAATTAGTCTTATCAAGTCTTGGTGAACCAATTTTCTCCCAAAGAGGCTTACCTATCATTGAGGCCCAAGCTCCAGAGTCAAATTCCATGTTTGTAGCTACCTTATTTAACTTTAAATGAATACGTGCTTTACAAATATGTCTTCTTTCCTTTTTAACATCGTTTATCCTCATGTCATGTGAGTCCGATTCAGATTCTTCAACTTCTGACTTTTCATGCAAATTATTCACTCTTTTTTGTCGACATACCTTTGCAAAATGTCCTATTTTTTTACAATTCAAACACTTTTGTTGATAGGCTGGACATTTACCAAATTCATGCTTTGTTCCACATCTACTACATGGATGATTTGTCTTTTCATTGTATTTCACTTCTATCTTAAACTCCTTATTGTGTCTTCTTACTTGTGATACTTCCAACTCTTTATCATTATTCTTGAATATCTCATGACGAGCTCTCTCCATTGAAGTGGCCAGTTCAAAAACATCTTCAGATGTTAACTTGTCACCATTTTCTTTTACACCATCAGGCCATCATTGTCTAATTTCTACTTCAAACTCTGGAAAATTTATACCTCCAGCAAATCTATCTCTTATTCTTTCATCAAACTTGTTCTCATACTTACAAAAATCTGCTAAATTTTTCAAACGTATTACAAATTCTGAAAGACTTTCACTGTTTTCTCTGATACTTTTTTCAAATTCCATTCTAGCTGAAAATATAGTTTTACTAGCTTTGTATACTGACCTGAAACCATTAACTAGTTCTGCCCACGTAGCCTGATGTACTTTTAAAGGCAGCAGAAAGTTTGAAACTTTTCTTAATGGTGCAGGACCCACATAGGCAAGCAAAAGATCCCTTCGAGCATCCTCTGCTCTCTGAGAATCTTCTCCCAATCCTTTTACCTTGCATAACAATAGAAAATGTGCTTCATAATCATCCCACCTACTAGACTCATCATAGCTTTGACATTTGAACTTCTCTATCTTTGATTGTAATGCGTCTTCTTTAGTTTCATACTTATCTTCTTCATTGAAATAACTATTTCTTCTTTTGGTTCGTTTACTCATCGTCGCCAATGTAGAATTACACTAAATAATATTCAAAATATAAAAGAACCATTTTATTGAATTCTTAAACACATCAAACTAAGCAGAATATTTACTAACAAACTTAATAATAATAAATCAGCTGATGTATTAATTACTTATACATTTAACGATCTAACACAGGTACTTGAAAACGCTTACGGAGGCTACTTGGGAGTTCGATCGCCAGCAGGTACGATAGTCTTTATAAAGATTGTTGGAAATGAATAGGCAGAGGGAGACACTATAGGGAAAAATTTTCTAAGCCCCTTTCCATGTGGAACTGCGCTCTTATACCTGGAATGATCATTGATTCAGTGTGTTTTCAGAATCTTTGTTTGAACCACAACTCTCATCTGTTTCAGATCCTGTTTTGCACTCTCAACACACACAAGGTAGACATGACCAAGCTGCTTGGGGGACAGATCGGATTGGACGACTTCATATTTGTTCATAGGAAAGGTACAAACATTTTCCAATCAAGTCCTGTAGGTAGTGAAAAAATAACAAAAATAACCATAGTACTTTGAACGGCTAACTTAAATTTGTGGGTTATCAATAATATTTTTCATCTCTCCCGCCATGCTAAAGTTGTTGAATAATACTTGATATTATTCAACAATGACAATAAATTTGCTTAAAACATGACATCTCTAATAATTGTGAAAAATAAGTCGATTTGGATTTGGATGGACACGTGGTGGAGTTTTCCAACTCAAGCTATTTATTTGGACCAAGTTATTCTTTTTTTTTTCTTTATTCACATGTTTATAAATATAGCTTACTTTAACTTCAGTATATACAAAATCGCTTATCCCTGATGAATAAATTGCAATTTAAATTGTATAGAACATATTCCATTTATCATATTGTGATTTTTGTTGTATTTACTGTGTATGTAGAATGGATGGTAGGATTCACGACGCGGGATTGACGCTGACATCGATATCAACTCTGCGCACGCGTCCCGCTTGTGTAGACATGCCAATTTAATGCAATGGTCCCTGTCGAGCGCGTGGCCCCGACGCGGGAATCCCGCCACGGGTTACACGCTCGTGTAGAATGGGCCTAACTGTAATTCAATACAATAAAATAGGTTATTGTTAATTTGAAATTGTTTTTGCAAGATTACGTCGCTGTGAAACAGGAAAACTAAATAATGTTTCATAATAAAAACAATTTTGTTAACTTGATTTTTTTTTGCTTTTGGAGGCCACCTTGACCCGGAGGCCCTTGGCGATCGCCGACCAGCCGCCCTCGCCAGAGCGGGCCTGATCGGGTACTTGATAATAATTGTGCAGTCCTGTTTTTATTTAATATAAATTTGCTTAAAAAAATCTGATTAGTAAAACTGTGTATTTGCAGGTCGGCCTAAGGAAATAGAGCTACGAAAGACTGAGGAAGCCTTGGGTCTCACAATCACAGACAATGGCTCTGGCTATGCCTTCATCAAGAGGATAAAGGAGGGAAGTGTCATTGACGGCATTGAGTACATCCAGGTGAAGACAGTTTGTAGTCCTTTGGTCTGATGAGGAAATAATCTTAACTCTTTGAGCGCCAATGAATGATATAATGGACAAGAGTAAAGGTGCGTCCACACTGGGCGAACGTTCGTGACGAACATGTTCGTTGAACATAATTTGTTTGCCGAACTGGAAAAAACATTCACTGAACATTATTTAAGTTTTTCAACGAACAATAATTTTCTTTCTAATCTCGAGTACAGTATTTAGGTTTTTGTAAGTGACAATAGATGTGCGTAGGCGTTGGCATTTTTGTCCGCTTTTACTGTTGTTTTTGCTGCATATTACATTCAGCTTTCAACGGTGTTGGGGTAGTGGCAGAAACAGTTGTACAAATATAGTTGGGAGCACTTCAGAGCAGTCTTTATAGCTATATTCCCTCTCTTCAAGTTCAGGTTGGGTTGAAAACACTCATAAAGGTAATGTATCCTAACCCCCACGAAGATTTTCTTCTTCTAGTTCGTTCCCATACCTGACTTTGACTCTGCACTTTATTTTCCTCGCCTATATTGCACTAAACAACTGTCGATTTGCTAAAAAAAAACCCCACATCAGCCCAAATTTTTCTATCAATTTCACTTAAACTGTCATATTATTCATAATTTCTTTTCTTCTCCTGGGATCCATAGTAAGCTGTGTTGTTCATACAGGTTAATTGAAGTAAGAATCTTTATAGAGCGAACATTAAGGCTGAACCAAAACGCCGACACGCTATGCCCACCCTCTGTCTAAGAACGTTTATCTAGGTGTCCACACAAAGCGAACATTAAAATGTTAGGGAACATATTGTTCATCCAGTGTGGACGCACCTTAACATAATCACATATCTACTTACAGCTAGCATATATTCAAAATAAACAGTATGAAACAGATAAAATTTATATTATGTGCTACCAATTTAAAGTTACTTCAGAATTTTTTGGTTGACCAGTTTTGTTAGTCCGGTAGATTGTTAGGTCTGATCAATTATCGAGCAGTATTAAGGTATAGCCAGTCTGGCCAGGAGACACGTCCCCAAGAGTTCATGGTTATATCTGGTGTGCAGCTTATGAGGAGTTCACCTGTAAGTTAAGCTTGATGAAAATTTAGGTGAACAGCTCAGGTGAATGACGGGACGGGGTGGATTCTTTGTGAGTTGCATCATCAAATAAAGCATTTTATTGTCACTTTTATTGTCTTTTCTAACTTTGTGTGTTTCTCTAAAAACACATTGTAAAATAACTTAGAATTTTAATTTTGTACTAGTGCACCTGTCGCTCGAATTCGAGCAATTGCAAAATATTAAAGGCGTTATTTCAAAACGAATAACAGTAACAATTTCCGATGACGTAAAAGAGTCAACTCAAAGATAATGTAATCAATCGCCCACTCCAGTTATCAGAACTGGAAACGAACTCACTCTGAAAACGAACGCTCTTGTGTGTATCATGTGTATGAACAGCTGTAATTAATACAAATTATTCGTCTGTTTAAGTAAACAAAATCTTTTCTTCATAAGAAATACATTGGGATTTTGATGGCCTGTGGGGCATAGCCCGAAGACTTTTGTTACAGGAAATGGTGAAAGGGGGTGTCTACACAAAAAATACTTAATTTTGACACCTAGTTTGTAAAAATCTATCAATTATTAACGGAGGAGTAGTGTTTCGTAGAAATTGCCTTCACATACCGGTATTAAATATAACGATTCTTAATATGAAGGAAAATTATTTATTCAGGCTTTTAGCAAATTCCCCATATAGGGAAGAAGCTATTATTTTAGGTGGCACAGAAAGACCTATACTGGGACTGATTTACTTTTTCATTTTGATGTCCCCAAAGGTACCTACACTATTTGTTCAAATGTTTAAATGTATGGATAATTTTATTGTAGGTATATAATAATCTTACTAATATTATAAATGTGAAAGTTTGTGTGTTTGTTTGTTTGTTTGAAATTCAATCACGCATAAACCACTGGACGGATTGGGCTGAAATTTGGTATGATGATAGCTCACATTCCCGATTAACATATAGGTATATTCTTATCTCAAAAATCCTTTCGGGCTCCGCCCCAGTGGCTCTGAGAGTTCTCCATGTTAACCTTATGAGTATTCATATTTAAAGGGAATTAAAGAATTTAGTCAGCTGTTTCAACTAAAATACCCCCGTTGCAGCAAACCTGCAGACTAAGCGAATTTCCATTTGCCTGATTGGATTTACACTAAAATGTCTGCTGAAAAATATCACATTTATTCCCTATTTAAATAACATTAGTTTTAACGAGTACTTAGGTTTGCTGCAACAGGGAAGGTAAAAAGGTGTTTTTTTGTAAAATGTTAATAGTTTAGTGTATGAAATGAATGCATTTTCCAAATTTGATCACTTTTTCATCACTTTTGACAGATCGTCATAGGATCATGAGATTATTACCATACATGTTTTTAATCATTGGAAAAATCTTCGATTGTGTAATACAATACAAAATAATACAAGTGCAGAAGTGTCTTATAAGCTTTAACAGTAACCCCACAACCAATTTCTCAAAACTATGCTAGAGGGTTATTCATTGGCACAGAAGTACGATATGAACTGACGCGACGTGACGAAGGAAAAATCAAACTTACACTGTAACGGATGAAGTTAGAACGTGTCTTCTCAACAAACAGATATTTTTTCTCAAATAAAATCATAGATTAATCTTTATTGCATTGATCAAATCGGTTGTATTTTAACTACAAAAGATCCACCAATACGATTTTAATACTATTTAAAGATTCTTCCAAAAGAAGAGATACCAGTTAACATACTAATAATGACTCTTCGGTATGGGTAATGATGACGTACGGTATTGGAAATATTTTATTCATTGAATGACCAACCATATTTGGTAACTAACGCAAATAATATCATTACTAGTGTACATGTTGCTCGAATTCGAGCAATTGCAAAGTATTACAGGAGTTATTTCAAAACGAATAACAGTGATATTTACAATTAGTTTAAAAGAGTCAACTCAAAGATTACCGGTGTGTAACTCAGACCATGTTTATCTTCGTTATTGATAAACCTAAAGCATTCCAGCCGGTTTTCTCCTTCTCAAAATGCCTCGCTGTACATGCAACACAGGTCATTGATAGAGGGCCAATAATTAAGAACGAAAAGTCGTTTTGGAGTAGTGTTAGGGTGCATCATTAATTTGTAACCTAATAGTTGAGATTGTCCAGGGTCAGGTGCTGACTGTGATGAGTTAAGCCTATGCTATTACGCGCCACTGTTCTGTAGCTGCGGTCGTTATCACGATTACGCCTCCTGTCTATGTTTCGTTGTCGTCGCGTCGGAGGCATTTAAAAGAAAAAACAACAAATAAACAAATTATAGCTACACAAAACAATAATAAACGCACAAATTTAAGTTACAATCATGCTAACACGATCTGTCATAGCGACACAAAACAACGATAAATATACAAATTTAAGATACAACCATACTATCACCTTTGACTATTAATACAACACACGATCCGTCTTGGGGGTTATGTTTACACAAACTCAAATAGTAAATAAATGTAGGCCTACTCAATGCGTTTTATTCAATTGAAAAATAAATAACAGCAATTAAATCATACAGCTGATCAAAATGTAAACAATTATGTACTCCATAAGGATAACATGGGAACTTTCAAAGGCACTGGGGCAGAGCCCAAGGGACGCTTCCAAAAATGTAAGGCCAGTTTGCAAATCTACGTGACACGCTCTTTCCAATGAGATGTCAATGGATAAAATCGGTTAAGAAATGGCGGAGGAGTTCAACCGACAAAGTTTCATGTAGCGTATTAATTATATAGATTGTTTTTACACTTATTACTCTTTAAACAATGCTAAATTCTCAAAAAATTTATAATTTCACTCAATTTATCGCAGTTAGATGAATTAGCGTAAGCCTTGAACTTGAAAGTAACCGTCGATTTCGACGGGTTTTACCTAGTATTATATAAATGTATATGTGTTTGTGTACCTGAACACAACCACTCAAATAATTTGGGTCAGATTTTAATTAAATGTTTTATGATAGTGTAGAGTTGGATAAACTTGGTTGAGTTTGCAAACCAGCAAGATCTGGGAACAGGGTGTTATGGGGTTTGAAGTTTTCCAAAACATGTTTTTTAAATTGATTTACCAATAAAATTGTTCACATCATCTGAAGTAGCTAAAGTAATAAAAGACGATTTAAACGGCAAAAAGCCCCCGGTTATGATCTGATAACAGGTAAAGTGTTGAAAGAGCTTCTTAGAAAAGGAATAGTTTTCCTTACAGTACTTTTCAATGCAGTTTTACGCCTTGAATACTTCCCAATACAGTGGAAGGTTTCACAAATTGTTGTTATTCCGAAACCTGGTAAACCTTTAAATCAAGCATCCTCGTATCGGCCTATATCTCTTCTTCCTGTGGTTTCTAAAGTTTTTGAAAAACTTTTCTTAAAAAGACTCCAAATTATAATTGATGAAAAAGAATTGTTGCCTTCACATCAGTTTGGATTCCGCCGAAGGCATTCCACCATTGAGCAAGTGCATAGAATAGTGAATGTAATCAAGGAAGATCTTGAAAATAAACGTTTTTGTTCATCTGCTTTTTTGGACGTAGCCCAAGCGTTTGATAAAGTCTGGCACACAGGATTATTGGTCAAAATTATAACTTTGCTGCCCCATACATACTATGGAGTGTTGAAATCGTATTTGTCCAAACGCTTTTTTCAAATTAAATATCAAGATATAGTTACAGATGTGCATGAAATTGAATCAGGTGTACCACAAGCAGTGCCGGATTTACCACTAGGCCGACTAGGCCGTGGCCTAGGGCCGCAAGCAAAAGGGGGCCGCAAAGAATTGACAAAACAAAATTCTATAAAAAAAAATTTGATCAATTATTTGCGATTGCAAGTGATGATGATGATCACTGCCCACAACAGAATTCGCGATTTTATAGCGGTCGCGGGAGTCGATGATGATGGCCTCACGATCGTGGCCCATGGTAGATGTTCACTATTTTGCCACGGTCCCAGGTCCCATTTGTTGATTATGTTGTCCCCGTGATTGCAGTCCACGGGAAATGTTAACGATTTTGCTGTGGTCATAGGTGTCGATGTTGATATCACCGTGATTTTGACCAACAGGAGATGGTCATGATTTTTCCGTGGCCTCTGGTGACAACGATGACGATGTCCCTGTGATTCCGGCTCACAGGATATTGTCAATGATGATATCCACATGATTGTGACCAACAGATGTTTACGATTTGATTTTGCCGCAGTCACTAGTGACAATGATGATGTCCCTGTGGTTTAAGCTCACAGGAGATGTTCACGGGTTTGCCGTGGTCGTGGGTGTTGACGATGATATCCCCGTTGATGTTGTGACCAACAGATGTTTACAAATTTTTCCGAAGTCACTGGTTTCGATTATGATGTCCCTGTGATCGCGGCCCATGGGAGATGTTCACGAGTTTACCGCGGTCGTGGGTGTCAATGATGATGTCCCCGTAATTGTGACCAACAGAAAAAGATGTTCACGAATTGCGGCAGTCGCGGGTGTCGATGATGATGTCCCCGTGATTGGAGTCCATGGTAGACGTTGAAATGAAACGAAAATCCTTCTTTATTGAGGCGAACTTAGGACCTCGTGGTCCCTACTTACAGTTAACCTTACATCTTACAGTTAACGACGTTCCAGAGTTTTTTTTCCGCGATCACACGGAATTTCCACGACTGGGTTGGGGGCCTCTCGAGTAATTGGGCCTAGGGCCTCAGGTACCCTAAATCCGGCACTGACCACAAGGCAGTGTTCTTGGACCTATTTTGTATATTTTGTTCACTTATGACCTTCTAAGTACTCAGGGTATTACGGTTGCAACATTTGCAGACGACACTGCTTTTTTATCATCAAATCAGGATCCTATTCTGGCATCATCAAACCTTCAGGCTGCATTAGACGATTTGTCTCAGTGGTTACAGAATTGGAAAATTAAAGTAAATGAAACAAAATCCATTCAAGTTACATTTACTATGTCTACAAGAACTTGTCCCCCAGTAACATTAATTGAATAATGTCATGCTTCCACAATCCAACGAAGTTAAGTACCTTGGTATGCATCTCGACAGACGGCTTACATGGCATTCACACATTTGGAACAAACGACTTCATTTAAATTTAAAAACAAACAAACTAAATTGGCTCATTGGTCAAAATTCAAAATTATCTGTTGAAAATAAATTACTTTTATACAAAATTGTATTGAAACCTATTTGGACCTACAGTATCCAACTCTGGGGAACCACTTCCAACTCAAACATAGAAATAGTTCAAAGGTTTCAATCAAAAACACTGAGAACAATTTTACAAGCACCTTGGTTTGTCACAAATAAGTAATTCATCAAGATACAAAATTACCCTATGTTAAAGAAGAAATAAAGAAACAAAGTGAAAAATACCAAAGAAAATTAGAAACCCATCCAAATTTCCTGGCAGTTAACCTCCTCGACAAAAGTGAAGCTACACATATAGGCTCAAAAGAGTTAATCCAATAGACCTTCCAAATCGTTTTTAGTTAAACTTTTTTAAAGTTTTTGTATGTTAGTGCACTTGATGGAGTGTAATTAACCCATGTTAAAATGGTTATTAAATTTACTTATTATTCTAGTATAGAATAGATTGTAAATACTTGTTAAAAAAAAAAAATGTTTTTTAAATAATGTTTACCTTCATACATGAAAATGCCCAATTTTAATTACAACCATTGTATAGAGATTTAAAAAAACAAATAATTTTGTATATTGAACATTTGTGTACAATAAAAAGGTTATGGAGGAAATTTTTTCTTGTTTATAGATACGTACATATAATGTTGATCAAATTTGGCAAATGTATTTATTTCATCCTATATTCTAAAAGGATAGAAAAAAAACTTTTCACCTCTATGTAGCAGCAAACCTGGTACTCGTCGTTAAATCTAATTTTATTCAAACAAGGAAAATATCACTTATTTAAGAAAATATTTGAGTTAAAATCCAATCAGACAAATTTAAAGTTGCTTGGTCTGCAGGATTGCTACGGTGGGAATATTTTTAATCACTTTATGCACGGAATTCAAAGAGTTCGGAGCAGCTCCTAAGTTAAAATTGAATTTAACTAATTGTTTAAGTTGTGGTATTTGTGTTTGTCTGTATCTATTACCCTTCCTAAATATTATAACCGAAAGGCGTTGTCCAGGTTGGCGACCACATAGAGAGGATCAACTCTGAGAACCTTGTAGGCAAGAGACACTTCGAGGTGGCGAAGATGCTTAAGGAGATTCCACGGGACACAATATTCACAATCAGACTTGTCGAGCCTCTGAAGGCAGGCTTCTGTGAGTAACTATAATTGATCTATTGAACTATAATTGATCTACAGTACGGTATTGAACTAATTGGTGGGGGGTAGGGACTTTTACACAGGTTTTGTTGTGGTCATGTATTAGTTACTTATCTATTACCGGTACTCTAGATGACACTTGCACTGATTAGAGTAGTGGTAATGAGGATTAAATAAGGAGATTGCAAACTTGATGGGTAGCCACAACAAGGTCATTCGTTGCTAATCAGTATACCTACCATTAAGATTGTTAGCTCTGTTAGCTTCTATTTCTGTAAAGTAAAAGAAATTACAGAGTAACACTTAAAAAATTAAAATATGAAAATTAACAGTTTTAAATTGATATGGTAAAACTATGAGATTAGAATGGAATCACAATCAAGTTTGAAACTAAATAGTTGAGCTTCTAGTTGAGCCGTTTTGTAATTGCAGTACACTGTTTAGGTCTGTTCAATGACCAGGTGTTATCTTGCCGGCCAGGAGGAAGCTCTGTTGAACAATATACAGGGTGTTTCCGAATTGTCTGGACATATTTTGTGGACTTGTTCCCTAGGCTAAGACAAACTTAAAACACCGTATAAGTATGGGTCTAAAGTGCCTAGATTTATGTCTGTTGGTCCGTTTGTGATTTTTATAAATTATTTTATATCTTGCCATTTTTCAAGATAGAGATTTAAAATTTGCTATGAGTGTGTAGTTCTACAAGTAAAAAGAACTATGAAAATTGTGTTCCAATATCTCAAGCCGTTTCAATATGGCGGCCATTTAAAATGTTTAATGCCGAATTTCATGAAAACCGTAAATATTAAGAAAATATTCCACCTAACCGAAAATATAGAGAATTTCAATACAAATTTGGCCTCATTTGGCCTTGTTTGTTAAAATTGGATGAAAAATAACTGAGTTATCAGTTTTTTTCTACAATCGGTTACGCAATTTAATAGGACTAATATGTTCTCAAGTATGGTAGTCCTACTAAATTGCATAACCAAATGTAGAAAAAAAACTGATAACTCAGTTATTTTTCAAAAATCACAAACATACCGACAGGCGGAAATATAGGCACTTTAGACCCATACGTATATGGTGTTTTATGTTTGTCTTAGCCCAGGGAACAAATAAGTCCACAAAATATCTCCAGACAATTAGGAAACACCCTGTAGAATATTAAGCTATAGTTGAAGCATAGACTAACCAACACAAGTAGACTTCTCATCCCATTGTAAATTTTGAAGCACGTTTTTCGTGTCTAGTTCATGTACGTGACACAAAGGCGCTAGTGTCGACGAAACTTTGTTTCTATTATTTTAGGGTTAATTTCTTGATTTGTGCTTTACTGTTTGGTTATATAACTAGGGGACAAGTTATTGTTTATGATTAAATTGTATTATTTGGTTAAACAAGGTTTTAAATGGCTGTAATAACGGGAAACAAATTGTAAACAAAACACGACCTCTACAGAAAAACGGACAGAACTAACAATAAAATTGGCTTCAGCTGTTCCATAAGGATGGCAAATCTACTAAGGGAGTATGTTTTATCTATGGTTGAAGTTATACAGGTCTTAGGGGTCTAAAACAGCTGGGGGTCCTGGTTTTCAAAAGAAAAGTGAAAAAGATGTAAAATATTGTATAGCTTATAATTTTGTTTTGTCATACACATTGTTTTGTATAATAATAGTTGTATATTTTTTTTTTGTTAGTTATACTGTATTGACATGAGTTACTTTGTAAAACAGTTCTTGTACTGAAAGACGCTCGTAAATAAAGGCATTTTTATTTATTTATTAATAGGGGTGACATATTAAAACTGAAAGCGCTCAATGAATATTCATATAGGGTGTATGATTAATTGAACTACCTAAGTTAACTCTCCTTATTGTCATTGACTTGTAGATGATGCTCAGGCAGGCATTTTATCTTTTTGAACCAGGCCCCAATTTGTATATGGACTGACTGGGACAGAGCCCAGAACGCAAAATATTTAGGGTTGCAACATTTCACACAAACACTTTTATAGAACTATTTTGATTGTTTGCTGAAAACACACAAAGTTCAATCAGTATTACAGCAAGTTTGGTTAGGTTAGTGTGGAACAGTTTAATTTCCTAATCAGTATAGCCTATATTATTTTTGCAAGTTGTATACAAAGTCCTTATAGAAGCTACATGGTAAAAACTACAGCTCAATATACCCCAAGCTAACCTAACTTTTTATCAACTTCTTCACTCTTCTGTTAGTTTTATTTACTGTTTTGTTTTCTAACAGCAAATATAGACTCAAGAGGAAGTGCAAGAAGAGGTAAGAAGTCTGGCTATGGGACTGGGAAGGAGACACTGCGACTGAAGGCTGATGGAAAAGCGCAAGTCCAAAAATTGGTAAGCTCCCAAAAGTATTTTGATTTTATTCCACAACAAATTTCAAAATTGACACAAATGCTGATAACACTAAATAAGTTTACAGAAATAGCCAAGAATGCAACGTTAATCCAGATGATAAATCCAAATGGGTGAGGCAATGAAAGCGCCCCAATTTATAAATAGTACAAATTCAATACAATTTACCCTATACATATAAATAGCACATCAGAACACAGCTTATCTTTTGTCATTTTAACTTAAAAAAGTCATTTTTCCATTTATTGAAAACAAAATGCTTCAAGTGACATCCTTGTCCTCCTACATGACATTCCTTTTCAGTCACTTGAAAATGCCATTGAATACTCGTCCTTCCAACATTTCTTCATGAATCACTTTAGTTTCTTGGACAATTCAAGAAAATTCTAGGGCAACTTTGAAAAACCTTTAAATTTCAAGTAGCTTATAGGGAGAACCCCCAAAGAATGCAAAGAGCCAACGTAAAGCTTCCAACAAAGAAAGCATCCTGGCAAACCTCTTTGGACTTTGAGTTACTGCGACTCACACTCTTTTGACATTTGCCGGTGTACAAAGAGGTTTGCGGTACCCACTGATTATTTTTATGGTTTAAGCTGTTATCCTATAGTATATTTCGTACCTAGGGCCGAAAATGAGGTTTTGCTAGCTCGAGATAGTTTTTAAGTTCGAGACAAAGTCGAGAACTTAACGATCGAGAGCTGCAAAACCATTTTTGGTCCGTGGTACAAACACAATTTTTCACCACACTACTACTATTCACAATAATAATTAATGTACACTGATAGTCAACACAACTTTAAGGTTATGTGAAGAAGTAATTTCAGGAATCAGCAAAAATAATAATAAACAGTTGCTAGGCAACGGTGAAAATAAAACAATTCTATTGCAATGCTATGGATACTGGTTGTGTATTTAATATGCAAGCGGGCAGCTGATTTTGCGGCCCTAGGGATGTAAAAACCTGCTCGGTCCCCAAATGACGTTGACAGCTGGCATGGCCAGCAAAACCCATCTTTCAGCCTCTAATTATTGTATGTAAAACAGCTAATAACATCATAGTGTGGTGAAAAATAATTTTACCTAGTTCCCTATTGTTTTACAATCTGGAACAGCGCCATATTGACTAAGTATGGAATGTGGTCCAAACAATCTCTGAGTGTATGCACAAGAATCACTATTTTAAAAGTAGGTTCCTACATCAAAATCTCAGTGTTACAAGCCTCAGGCACAATGTTTACTAAAATGGCATAGTTTGATTGATGTTATAAGCATAGCTCTTCATTCATTGTTGGTTTACTTATAATGTGACAGCGAAAGAAAATCTGGGTGCTCTCACTGCCTCACCCTGTATAACACGAGTGCAAATATTAACTGTTTTCTTCTTGATGGAGTGTTAGTAAGAACTGAACCCAGCTGTCCTTATCATTTGGCTTTAAATAAATGATCCTGACTGATTAAACAGCTGATCATGGTCCGTAACAATAAAGCCACATAGATCACACAACATTCTACACTCATCCTTCATTCATATTTGCCTTAAAATTACGCACCGAGGTGGCATCCCTGTCTCAATGATAATTGATAATTGAATTAAAGACAAATTAACTGATTAGGATTATTAGTGAGGTTAGGGTACCAGGCTTGACTGAATGGGAAAGAGCAAGGTCCCACTAGAAAAACGGGCCATGCTGCAAGATCCATGACTTGACACTTGTGGATAGATTCACTGCCATATCCCATATGTTTTTAGGCAAATAAGCTGGCTGTTTACGTCTGACAACTTTAGTACAACTATCCACCACTTTGACGTAGTGTTGCGCTGCAGTATGACCTGTTTTTCTAGTGGGGCCTTGGAAAGAGTCTAAACTGGCACAAGAAACACAAAACTTTTACACTACTTACACAACACGTTAGAATAGTTCACTGTCACTGACAGCATTTTCAACTCCTCTTCCTTGAGCCTGAGAAACTCCTGAGAAAACCCAGAGTCGATTAGTATGAATTTTTACCAAACTAGTTTAATTTTCAATTTAGAGTACAGTTACATAATGTATTTTGTTATTTGTCAGTCTCAGACTTGTGGGGGAATTTTTCTGAAGGTAAGTTTTTGGATATGTTCCATTTCCCTGGCTGCAAATTATAGATGTTGAGTATTTTCCCTATAGTGTTAAGTACAAGCTGCCATAATCCAATGTTTCCCTCTTTTAATTTTTCCCAAGTTTTAGCTATCCCCCTCTTTATTACAATATTTTTGAGATGGCTGAAATCTGAATGTTGAGGTTCTGGAAATGTTTTCGGTGGTTAAACATTAAATCTGACAATCTTGCTACGTTTCAAGTCTCTGACTTTTTAACTGATTTATAATATAGGTATCTATCAGTGATCCAATACAGTAGCCTAATCTATATATTTAATACGCTAGGCATATTTTTGTCGTAATTGTTTTGGAATGTCCAAAGTGTCGTTAGAAAGGTCTTAGCGTGTAGTTTTGCCATCAAACAAAAAAACTTTGGATTTCCATCAGGGCTCTGCCCCAGTGGGAATTCAAAGTTCCCATGTTATTCTTAGGGAGAAAAATATGTTTGTTTACATTTGAACGGATGAATACTTTCAAATTGACACTAATATTTGAAACAGCTGGTTATACTACAATTTTGCACAACATCAAAACATAACCAAAAAAAACGTTCGACATAATGTGAGACTATAAGACGTTAACCAAGACGGCCAAAAGGAGGAGGCCGACAAATTTTAACTGGTAGACGAGAACGAAATACAAATACTGTAATACTATTGTCGTTGATAGCCGAATACAGCAAGCACCATTCCATGTTGGGTTTAAGTGTGCTCTCCAACAGCCGCCTGAAGATTTCACATTTAATTTAGGACTGTTGGATAATCGCTGCATAAGCTGTTGATTTTGGAAGACAAGGAGAACGTTTTAAAGGTAAAAGTTCATATATATACCTAACATCAGAAAGAGACTGGAACAAGATTGGGAGATGGGCCATTATGAAACGTAGTTTTGTCACAAGACATGGAAAATTTCAAGGCGAATTTGTGAAAATTTCACATGATGGAAGAGGAAGTATGTAGATGTGGAGAAATGAAAACCACGAGTCACGTATTTATAAATTGTTCACTTCAGGAGACAAATAGGAGAGAACAGGAATAAGTCTTGGATAATATAGGTCTAGAGATGAGAAAATAAAACATGATGAGTTACAAGGAAACAATTGAGATGTTTAGAAAAGTAGCTAAGGAAAACCAGGGATACATACAGGCGTTAAAATTTACAAAAAGAAACAAACAAAAACTAAGAAAGAAAAGGAATGAAAACTTGCCCATGAAGGGGAGAGGAAAGGTTAGAGCGAATCTCAATGATTCCTATCCCTCAGGGCGGTATGGGGAAGGGAGTCGTGCTGTTAGGCTTTTGGACACGTGTCTGGAAACCTATTGCGGCTATGAGTAAGGCTATTTGTAGAAAACCCTATTTACATAAAATGTTGATTATACCGATCTGTTATGTACATCAGAGAGTATTTTCATAATCTTTGATTCAAATATTTTAAAGTCATCAGAAATTATGACTGTTATTCGTTTTAAAATAATGCCTGTAATACTTAGCAATTGCTCGAATTCGAGCAACAGGTACACGAATATATTGAAACCTGATAGTTGTTATTCCCTTCCAATATTAATTTAGTAACAACAAAACTTTTATTTGAGTTGACTCTGGTATGAGACTCAAACGATAGTCCAAAGTGCTAAATAGCAGTACCGGTACAAAGTAAAATAAGTCTTCATATTGGAAATCGTATAAATATCTTGCATACTTGTACTTGCTTATAAAAATGAGCTTATAGATGAGAATTTTATTATAATTATTTCCGTGTGTGTGTGTCCACCAAAAATGATTTTTATCATAATCTGGTTTTTGTGTTAAATAGATGAGGGAAAAATTATAAAAAAAGGCATAAAACCACTGAATAATTTCTAGAGTTAAAATAAAGAAAATTGTACTAATTCTAATATTTTTGTCATACAGGACAGTGCCATGCAACAGGGCATAGACAGTATCAATCAGCTGCTGGAGGGCTTCATGGGTATAAATGACTCAGAACTTGGTAAGCAAAAGTAATTTTTTTGCAAAAGTGGCGAAGGTAAATAAATAGTTATAGTACCAGTTGCCTTTCCATGTGAATTGATATTTTGTAGATACTACATAGGAGTTAATTTAAAAATTGTTTAACAGACAAATATTATCTTTAAAAGAATTTAGCAAGCAAAGCAAAAGATCGCTCAACAAAATAATTATAAAAAAGTTGGAGTCTAGGAGCTTTTTAGTCAATAGCTTTACATGATAAGTTTCAAGAAAAGTTACTGTGGTCCATTTCAGCATCACTATATGGAGAATAAATACTCAGCTGATTTTATTCATAACAAATTTACACAGATAATCTTACTACATTCTACACTCATATCATCCTTCACCCATGTTCAGCTTAAAATACACACCTTTAGGGTGTTTTGCTGTCTTAGAGGAACGATAATAACTATAATGATAATACCTTTTTCCAGCCACACAAATCTGGGAACACGCAGAAGGGAAGACTAACAGTATGGACTTTGCTGAGGCCATCGACAATTCTGACCTCGAGGAGTTTGGATTTACTGATGAATTCATAATAGAATTGTGGGGTGCAATAACAGATGCTCGAGCAGGCCGGCTCAAAAATGAAGTGTTCTGAGAACGAATCCTGAGCGCTTAGTCATCAAACATGTGTTCAACTTCCACTCATTGTTACCACTCTCATGTTTTATGTGGGGAATTCATTAAGATAAATTCTTTACAGTATTTATTCTTGTTGATGCTGGGAAGAGTTTTGTTGTATTCAGTAAAATCTTATATTTTAACTTATTGTACATATTTTGTAAAAAATTTTAATATTGCGTACGGTATGTGAATCCATTGTCATTTGTTGAAATTTTGAAAATATATTATTGCTTTTTATGCTTTGTTTATTGTGTTTACCGATAGTTACTGAATAAAATTATTTTAGAGATACCTAATGTAAAATATAATATGTTGGCAATTTCTGGACTCAAAATAATCAATTTAAGTCCTTGCCCTCTCCTACTGGATTAGAAAAGTTTCTGCCCTGATGTTTTACTTTCTCCCCCTACACCATCAGTAGGCCCATATAGAATTTTGTTTTCGCTAAAACTTTTGAGTTTGAGTGGATATTTCTGTTTTTTAAATTTCCCTACTTAAATAACAAGAAACAAATAGAAAAAAAACCGCCCCTACAGTCAGTGCACTGGACGGAAACTAAAAATAAAATAATTATCTTCAGCTGATCCACTATGGATGAACAATTACTAAGAGAGTATAGTTATTTGTGTAACTATAGTGGGCGAGGTGGCACTTTTGCTACATATGAGAGAAATTTTTCCGCATGAGCCGTAGGCGGGTTTTAGAAGTTTCTCGAGTGCAGCAAAGGCAGTTTGCACTTGTGTTGCACATTATATTTTTCCTACAGTTACTATAAATCATATAATTAGTCTTTAAAACACTGTACAACACGTTTTTTAGGTTAGGTTAAATCCAAACATTGAATGAAATGGGAAACGCTGCACCAGCTGATCGTAGTCGAAATATCTTTGAGTTTTGCCAGCTTATTTTCAAGCGTACACGAATTACGTGCATAATAAAAGCACGCTGATGTTTTGTGTTGTTTGGTTGCAATACTGGTGTGCGCCAAAGTAAGGCTTTCTGTACTATACTGTGCAAGGAAGCCCACTTTGTCGGGTGACTGTAGGAAAAGTCCATTGCTTGATTACAAACTTTAGGTCAAAACAATCTATTGCACACTCTAAACATTCCTCCTCCAATTCTATCCTTATCCAATGAAAATAACGGTAAAACACCAAATCATAAGTTAGGTAGTGTTTATTTTTGCAAATTTCCCTATAGGGATCTAGGCCCAAAACCGATTTACTTTTTCATTTTGATGTCTCCTGAGGCCAAAAACACGATTTCTTCAAACTGTTTATATATATATATGTGTGTGTGTTTGTCCGTGTACCTTAGTAATTTTTGTCCGATTTTGATGAAATTTAGCTTGAAGGTGTAGGGCGGGATAAACTTGAATGAATTCGCAAACCAGCATGATCTGACAATGAGAACGGGTTTTCATAGAGTGAAAATTGGGTTTTCTCATTTTTGACCCTCAAAACATAACATTTTCTAATTTCTGACTAAACTATTTTGAAAAGCTTAAAAAAAAAACAAATAATTTAGTATATTGAAGTGTTTTTGTACGGTTATTGGTTACGGAGAAAATTCTAAATCGTAAAATTAAAATGCCCATGTTATTTATATGGAGAATAGGTAAACTGTGTTGTAGGTACTGTAGTTTGCTTGTTTATGGGTATATTTTGATCAAACTTAGCAAATTTATTTATTTTATAGTAAGCTATTAATATTTTACTAAAAAAACACTTTTACCATCCCTAGGTAGCAACCTTTAGCAGCAAACCTTGGCGGTACTCATTAAACCTAATGTTATTTAAATAGATTTAAGTGGAAATCAAATCAGGCAAATGGAAATTCGCCTAGTCTACATGTTTTCTGCGGCGAGAGAATATAATTTTGGTAGTGAAACAAAATTCCCTCTGTCTTGCTTTAAATCAAGCCCTGCAAATAAAACGTGTTATACTCCGTTCACAAAACTTAGACGGTTTTAGGGGAAGAAATCTATCCCCTCCACGTCTTGTTCCTTCCATTACTGGACCCATTAAAACATGGCTCAACAGCTGAGATTTTCCAAAACGTTAATCATCTGCAACATACATTAAGTAGAAAAAAGAGGTGGGGGAACTTCCCCTCAAACCACCTAAATAATTTGAATGGAGTACAGTATAGAATTATGAGTGGCTACAAATAAATATTGCTCTTTATAACAATTTCTTAAAGAACTATTTACTGTTAATTTCAGCTATAAAAAAAAACGGCCGAATAAGACTTCTTTCAAGGTGGGGCAAGAAGTTTTGCAAGGGTGCCTGCAGACAATTTTTTAGGGGGGGGGGGAGTGAAACTTGTATCTTTTTCTGGGGGCAGGGGAAATTATCTCTCCCACAAACAATTTTAATTTAAAATGATTATTCTTAAAAATATTTTCAGAATTTCAGGACATATTTAAAATGTCACATCATTATTCTCTTGGAGCACTGGTTGTGTTGTAGATATTACCTTATTTCCTCCTCTTCATCGTTGACCAGCCTGGGCCGGATAGATAGCCTCAAAATACAACGCAAGTACAGAAGCTGAAATTGTTGCTGCAAGTGAAGCTTGTAGGGAAATAATTTGGCTTGTTAGATTGCTAAAGGATATTATGATAAATCTAAAGCAGTGGCCAATTATGAATATAGACAACATAGCAGCAATAGCCTACACCTAGCTGAAAACCCTGAGAATCATAGAAGAACGAAACATATTCAGACTAGGACTAGAGACACTTCTTTGTGAGAGAAATGGTTTCAGAAGGCAAACTGGCTGTTAAGCATATGCCAGCAGAATTTTAGTTAGCAGACTGTTTGACCAAACCACAGCACAGACCATGACTGAAGACCGTGTGTGAAGCTATGGGATTGAAATAAACTTTATTGAAACAGTTATAAACATGAGGGAAAGTGTTGAGATTTAGTAATATCTCTATTGTAATGAGAGTAAGAATGAATGAAAAAGAACTTTTATTACCTTTAGAAAGGTTTTTAATAACTTGAACAATACTACATTGAATTATAATGGACTTGTTTACAAACACAACAAAACAATAATAAAGATTTAAAGACACATATTTTTTTTACTACATTCTTCCTCCCTAATGTTAATGAACGTAGTCATTTAAATAATTAGGAGGTCTTCTGCTTCTGAAACTTCTTCTCGGATATGTATTATGGTTCTCTCCTCTAGAAGCTTCTTGTCTAGGTTGTAAATTCTCGGCAGTAGTATTCATTTCATCTTCTTGGTTCTGTGTTGATGATGGACTAGGAAAGTATTCAGGTTCGGGTTGAGAAGTGGGTAATAGAATATTTTCATCACTCTCAAAATCGGTTTGCTCTATGTCGGTTTGGTACTCACCAACCGGAGCAAGATGACGTGTAGACACGGTAGTTTCTCTTCCGTCAGGCAACTTAACATGAGCATACTCGGCATTCCCATGAAGAAGTTGGACCTCTTCAACAAGTGGCTCATACTTGGACGTACGATTGAATCTCTTCAAGTAGACAGGGCCGGAATTGAGAAGCCATGAAGGAGCTGAAACACCATTGTTCCCAGATCTACGTGGATGTAAGAACATACGCTCGTGAGGAGTTTGATTTGTGGCTGTGCAAAGTAATGATCTCACTGAGCTGAGGGCATCCTCTAAAACTGTCTCCCATTGGTTTATTTCTAAGTTAAGTGATTTCAACGCCAGTTCAATTGTTTTCCATAGAATGCCGTTATACCTTTCTACTTGCCCATTACCTGCTGGATTGTACGCAGTGGTTCTACTAGTTTAGATTCCAAGTGAGTTCAAGTAGCTTTTTAAGTCTTGGCTCAGAAATGATGTTCCTCTGTCCGAATGTATGTAACTAGGAACCCCAAAAGTAGAAAACAATGTTTTTAGTTTCGACTTAACTGTTGACGATGACATGTCTGAACAAGGGAAAGCGAAAGGGAACCGTGAAAACTCGTCTACTATTACTAATAAGTAACGGTTTCGACTTGATGAAGGCAGCGGGCCTTTGAAATCGATATTCAGCCGTTCAAATGCAGAAGTGGCTTTAATCAAAATCCCTTTGTGTTTGAAGAATCTAGGCTTCACAGCAGCACACACATTGCAGGAGTTTGTTATTCGCCTGATTTCATCAATCGAGTAGGGCAAGTTTTTACTTCGAACCCAGTGGTACAAACGTGTCACACCTGGATGACATAGATTCGCATGTAAATCAATCAACAGTTTTTCTTGATTTTGGATTGAAGAACATACTCTAGTCAGGGCATCTGCAGCCATATTATCTTTACTGGGTCTATATACAATATCATAATGAAAGCATGACAATTCCAGTTTCCACCTCATTATCTTTTCATTTTTCACTTTGCCATGACGGTTGTTATCGAACATAAAAGAAACCGACCTCTGGTCAGTAATCAGCTTGAAATGTTTACCAACCAAATAGTGACGCCATTTCCGCAGTGCTTCCACAATAGCTTGTGCTTCTTTTTCAACACTTGAATGTCTTTGTTCTGCTGGAGAAAGTATCCTTGAGAAGAATGCGACTGGACGGTTCGATTGAGTCAAAGTAGCAGCAATGGTACTCTCAGATGCATCAGTTTCTACGATGAACTGTGAAGAAGAAGAAGAAGAAGAAGAAAAAGTGTTTATTGAAATAAAATATCAATACAGTGTTTTTACATAAACACAAAGAACAATGGTCAAAGACCGTCTGTTTTGTGGTTGACATACTGATTTTACAATATTTTAAAACACATTAAAAAAGAGTCCATAAATCACAAACTATAATTCATTAAATAAACTGATTTCTAGTAACAAATACACAAATAGCACTACATAGTAAAAAGGATCAGTTAGCAAATGAATCAAAAATAAAATTTAAAATATAGCCTATTGATAATCTGAATTTATTCTACAAACAGCAATAAAATATAAGTAATAATAAAAAATAAAATAAAAACAAGCCTATTTTTACTTAGACAAATACTTAACAAACAATATTTTATACATTTTTAAGTACATAAATTTTCCCACTTTTGTATTGATATCTCAATTATTAAATTTAATAATTAAACTCCATTATCAATTCCCACCTTTTACACCACGCCTCTTTAAGATAATTTCCCAAAGCCCGCCAATCTTTGCCATTTAAAAATTCAAAAAACTCATATTCATTTAAATATAACTTGTTAAACCAAATTTGACGTACATTTTTTAAAATTGGACATTC